ATGATGGTGAAAAACAGCCACTTATATATTATGTAAATAAGAACTGTGCAAAACTCTTCGTAACTGAAGACTTATTCAGTTTATTTGTTTATTATTTATTCAAACGCAGAAACAACTTGGTACAATATGGCACCAATAAGGATGCGCCACACAATAATAATAAAACAACATAGATCAAAAGAAAAAATATAAGTAGAGAACGGATAAAGAACTTCATCTGGAAGGAAAACAGTCATGCTTAACAAGTTCAAACAGTGTTCGTTAACTATCATCGGGAAGGGAAGAAAGAAGGAAATTGCAACACGTTCGCCATTGATTACGATTCTTGGCCATATCCGATAACGTTTCGAGCCATCGATTTGAGCTATCTCTCGGACCCCAACCAGGGAGTCGTGACACACCAACCGATGCTAATCTAGCACAAAAATCCTTCATCCCACGACGCCACGTCATGGACTGACCACCTCTCCGCCTTTTCCATCCCGTCCCACGGCGGGCTAGCGAACAGAGACCTGTACGGAAGCCTCTGGGATGACATTCGCAGCACATGTCCAAGCCACCGGAGCCGGTGTTTCCAGATGACGACACTCAATGAATGGTGATCTCCACTGTGTTCAAACACACGCCGCCGAACCTCAGAATTACTCACGCGATGATGCCATCGAACGCAAGCAATCCTGCGGAGACAGCGATGATCGAACACGCAGAGTCGCCGCACATCCTCAGCTCGGAAAGGCCAGGTTTCACAGGCGTAGAGCAGGGCAGCCCGCACCGAAGCATTGTATACCCGACCTTTGACAGCCAGGCTAACGTCGCGACGGCGCCATAGGTGGCTCAAGTTGATGTATGCCACCCTAGCCTTCATTATACGGTTGGAAATCTCATCCGTCACCCCTCCGCCAGCACTCACACAACTACCCAGGTACACAAACTTATCAACAACTTCAAGCGGTTCACCCGCAAGAGTGAGTGCAGGTACAGGCTCCTGCCAATCTTGTAACAGTACTTTGCACTTAGACGGCGCAAAGCACATACCATACTTACAGACACTGATCGCCAACTGATTAAGTGCGATTTGGGCAGCCTGCATGCTATCGCACAGTAAGACGATATCGTCTGCATACTCGAGGTCGAAAAGTCTATCTCCAGGTAGCAGATCTACACCACCTTCACGCACATCCTTCAGAGCTGACTCCAGAATGTCATCGATGGCAAAGTTAAAGAGAAATGGAGAGATTGGGCAACCCTGTCTAACCCCACTGTTGGTTGGGAACAGTAATGATAGTTGGTTGTATGCCCTCACTCTACCTGAGGTGTTTCTGTATAGGGCTTTCAAGATGTTAACAAATTTCTCAGGTACACCTCTCTCTAACAGACAGTTCCAGAGCACAGTTCTGTCCAACGAATCGAAGGCAGCCCTAATATCAAGAAACACAACGATCGTTGGCCTGCAATACGTGTGGCGGTGTTCCAACAACTGACGAAGGGTGAACACATGATCAATGCATCCACGACCTGAACGAAACCCAGCCTGCTCTTCGCGAATCAATCCTTCACGTATTTTGCACAGTCTGCGAAGCAAGACAGCAGCCAATATTTTAGACGCGACTGGTAACAGACTGATACCCCTATGATTGTCACACGAATTACGTCGACCCTTTTTAAAGATGGGGACGATAATGGCTTCGTTCCACATTGATGGTACACTCTCTGTCTCCCACACCTTCCTGAACAACCCAGTTAGAGCCATTGTGAGAGTCTCGCCACCATCTTTAAAAAAAGCCGGGGGTAATTTGTCTGGGCCGGGCGCCTTATGGCGTTTCAGAACTTGGAGTTCCTTACGGACCTCCGCTTCGGTGGGTGGGTCGGTACTAACCGACCAAGGAGCACTCGGGCTAATGATAGTAGACACTGAAGCTGGTGGCCAGCTGAACTGCTTCCCGAAGTGCTCTGCCCAGCGTTCCAGGCGTCTTTTCAGGCTGGTAATTGGAGTGCCATCTGCCTCACAGACCGTCTCGCTGACACCTTGTTTCTTGCTGCCGGTGGCTCGTATGAGTTGGAACAGCTTCCGACTGTTGCCAGATGCAGCAGCTGACTCCATCTCACACGCACGTTCTGACCACCAGGCTTCGCGGTCCTTACGTAAACACTGTCTAATCTTGCGCGTGAGCGCCTTTCGCTGATTGTTGTATTCGCTGCCAGCCGGAATGGACCGGCGTTCATCCAGGAGTTGCAAGGAACTCGCAGAAACCCAGTGGTTTTTAGCGGAGCATTCTTTCAAGCCGCAAGCGGCTACACTCGCCTTTTGCATGGCACCTTGCACATGAAGCCAATGTTCATCTATACTACTTGGGGGGTTGCTGGCAAGCATTGTTTTTAACTCATTCTGATATTTCAAAGAAGTAGCAGGTGCTACTAGTTTGCTCACATCAACGTTTAGACGACGGCTTTTACGAACCCCACCAAATCGCAAGACGAACTTGGCACACACTAACGCATGATCGGAGTCCAGGCATGTGCTCCAGAAGGAGCGACAGTCTTGTATGCATCCTCGCCACCGGAAACTGACCGCAATATGATCAATCTGAGTCCAAGCTTGCTTCGCAGAGGGAGGACGCCAGGTAGCACTACGGCGATGGGGACTTATTTAGTAGTTAGTTTTTGCAAGTGAGCCGCTAGACTTGACCAGTACCTTGTTGAGTGCCGACGATCCTAACCATTTCCTCACCGTGGTTCTCGACTAAATTAAACTAATTGCAGTTTTATGGTGATGTGTAATGTTAATGTGTTGTGATTTTGTCTACTGTGCCCACACAAATTTGTTTTATGTTCTGATATTAGGTGTAAAAACAAATCCAACTTGTTAGGTACATTTTAAGTGTGATTGATATTGTATTATGTAAAGTATTTTCTGAACACTAATTTAAGATTAGAGGATCTGTGTGAAATTATTTATACTCAGGTCTTAGTGAATGAGTGTTCGTTTCTTTACTGATTTTATCCATTGTAATCAACTCTTTCATATTCATCTTGGTGTCCGAGCTCTTCAACCAAGACCATTCTCCTAGTTCTTCCTTATTTCCAAAACATCCGTTCATCTGGAGAATTTATAACTGATGAATGACAAAAGCGCTTTTTTCTTACATCGTCATCAGTCAGGTGACCACTAATATCCAAAAAGCATCAGGTAGATGTTTCATCGTAGCATAAAGCTTTACAGCAATGCTGTTCCTTGAGTGAATCGATGACAAAAAATCAAGTTTCAAGGTGAGCATAGAGCTATATATGCTTACGTATCGGCTCTTATCGTAACTTTACTTACTGAAAAGCTGCCGTTCGTAAACAATCATATTCTTGCTACTATTCATATAGGTAATGATTAAGTTTAACACTCTGACGTTAAAATATGGCATATATTTATTTTTGCAGACTGAAGTTGGACACTTACAGAGTAAATTACTTTTAATTTGCAACTTATTTATCTTACCATCCAAATGGGTCAGTTTAATAGAGTTTAAGCGGATACCTAGTTGCTGATGCCGTTTCGAGCGCAATTTATCGCTCATAATCATAACAAGGTAGTCACACAATTTTCTCAGTAAATATTACTGTATAACACTGTGAGACTTTATCAAAAATAGATTTTACCCATAATGGAATTATACTCTAGCACAGTGCACAAGTTCTTTTCTTATATCAAAGATACCTAGTTGGTCAAAAAAAAAAAATAACAAAACCAATACGGAAGGTGACGTACATGTGGAGCTAAAACGATCAGCTTACGGTTCTTAGTAAAGTAGGTAAGGTATATCTTTGGAGACCCTTCACTATGGGCGACAATAAGCTGTTCTGCTGTCGATGTGATGATGAATAACAGTCGTGTTACAGAATCATCATTATGAATCTCCCTTAATCTCTGTTTTTACTTCAGCCAGAGTCATGTGAATATTCTATACAAGTAGTCAAAATTAGCAAACACTGACATATTGCACCATAATCAGATATGAATGAATAGTCTTAGGATGTTACTTTGTTGATGTGAAATGCACATAGAAGGTCATACTGCTCGCCGTAAGAGAATAAATATTTCACCAGTGAATATGTCTCTAACGAAATCTTGCTTATCAATCACCTGTATTTATAGGAACATGACAATGGGCCTCTTTGATTGTTTGAAGACTGTTCAAACCTTGATAAGTTGAGATCCACTGCCCAGCAGTTGATAGTGTATCTCACAAATTAATGTGGCTCATATGTCCTATTACATTATGGAGCTGTTAAATAGTTTCAATAATCTGAGTTTCCTGGACATACAGACCGAAAGAGCGGTTTATAAACATTCACTAATAGTGGATAAAAGTAGTTATATGTGATATGTCACAAATGACAGAACGTTCGTCATGAGTTGTGGAATAAATGAATGGTATGAACAGTTGAGTAGACTATTATTCTCTTCTGCTTACTACATTTATTCAGTTCTTGTTGACTTCGTATTGCGCTACACCTAATATGAAATGAATGGAAGTTAGCCATGCACTGACTGCTAACACTGAGATGAGTTACTTCCTAGAGTATTTCTACCCGAAGATTCATGATTTAATTTGTGATAAAAAGATACGGTATTATCAATAGACGTAATCAGTTTCATGATGAATCAGTGGCAATATGTTCGTTATGGATTTAGGCTTGTGAACGTCAATGATTTTGAACTTCCCTCGGTAATTTCGACCGGTTTTCAGCCAACATTGTATGTGCACCTCAGGGTCAACTTTAACTATACGGGAGAAAGTAAAATATTTCCAAATATATGTATATTTCAAAAGCAAAAGTTGAAAGAACAAAATACAAAAAAAAGAGAATCTGGAATGAATTAGTGTTTTTTTCCCTAATTTTATTGGAAGCTCATACGTTTCTCTGAGATCGTTTACGCTTATATCTTGTTATCCAATTATCAAATACGGGGAAACGCTGCATTATGGCACAAAAAAGATTTGCTGGTACTAACTGATGTTCTTTGATAAGCTCTTCAATTGACAGACGAACCTAATTGATATGGAAAACAGAAACTTATGAATGTATGACACACGCTGATCTACATACAGGTACGTAACAGAAAAGTGCATCTGAAATAACCGTAGAGTTTGGAAAAAAATTGCGCATGTGGACCTAGAAAATGTTACCGTAGCTACAATATCACTGTTCATTTGCTTGTAGTGGCTAAAATGTGCACAAAATTCTACTTATCACACTTTTACACTGATATGGTGAGGAATCGCCAAGGCTAGTTAGCGAAACAATCTAAGTCCATTTTGATTGTAGGTATGAATCCAAATCCATCATGTATTATTTCAATCTTCATACGATGAATCACCTCAATAACATGTGACTTTCTCTTAAAGATAGAGTATACTGTGACCAGAGCTGCTATACGAGTACGAAAATTAAAGCATTCATGAGCACTCAGGTGTTTGACAACCGATGTCTTCTCAGCATCATTCACGTTTATTAGAACCACCAAATAAGCACGGGTTAGACGTATGGTTGAAAGCTGGACAAGTAAGCGACAGGGTGAAGCACGTTATTATCTGAGAAGGTTAGAAAATGTGTTACACATACCTGTTAGAGTAGAATTAGCTGAGAAAAAGCGAAGGCTGGTTAGATAAGAACATAGCTGCAATCGATGAGATTATTAGTTATGGGTTTTCTATGCTTTCTGTTAACTCTGTATTATGATCAATCACAAAAACTCACTTGTCTGATAAATTTTCGATAGCACTGAAGCTTGAAAAGCTAAATCTATTACCGCTCATTTATCGACTTCATCAATCTGGAATAACCCTCTTTTTGTTGTTTCTTCTTTTGGAGGCAGGTTTCAGTCTTCATTTCAGTACGTGAATTCTGTTACTTTCAAAGGACTAAAGTACCTTTAATCGTACGACACACTATTGACAGTATCTTGTTATGTGGGGACACCACGAGAAATAAACTGTTAGCGAGATTTCAAGTAGTCGGTGAAGTGGCTATAGTAATTGAGACAGAGAATTAAGAGTCAGTTTTACTAACTGTCACAGGTTTTTGACCGTAGACTTTCAATTAAAACCATCTGAGAATATGTGTGACTATAACTGGATAGTGTCCGGGTAAAAATTACGTTGCTACGCGAAAAAAACCAACTATTACGACCTGAAATATATTTTGTGTATTCAATGCCACTGCCTCCCTCTCCAAAATACCAGTATGAGTATATGGTCAAAGTACGACACTCCAATTGATGTAATCTATATCTACTGATATCAGCCCATAAGTAAGATGGTGTCTTCGTGATATTAAGAATAGACGAAGACCGTCATTGACCTACCTTAAAATCACAGACAACAGTGCAAATGTATTTATTCTTCAATGCTTTTGAAACTCCTGTTTTCATTCAATTAGTTTTGCACACTGATACATATTTGTCAGTCACAGTGTCATCTTTCAGTCCACTTCGTAAATGCGTGTTCATTAAAAATGCAGTAATTTGAGCTAATGAACCTCTGCGACTGTGGTTGTTGCTCAGTTTTATTAGTAGGTGATCAATGAAATGTTACTAACAGATATAAGTTTAACAGAAGAATGACGATCGAAGATGAAATGAAAATCTCCTGTAGCACAATTAAAACCAATCATCTTCAAACTAACTTATTTGAGATACTCTGCCTGCCGAAATATGAAAATCATATGCTAAATAACGCCTAAATCCATTTCAATTCTCCAAGCCAAGCTCCCATAAGTAATGTGTCAAACATTATCAACGTAGCAAGTTGCTCAGTAGGCTCTTCTCATTTCAATTTTAATAGAGATACCAACAGTAAATAGGACAAATGTGTTTCGAATGATGGTTAACCTACCCGATTAGCCAATTCGTCAGATGTTTCATCTGCCATTGGATAGATAGGATCACCAATATATGTCCTGAAAAAAGGTAGATGTAAAAAATTATAAGTTGTACAATTAAGATACAATCGATCGTACTAACCTGACTTACATAGAAAAATGAAGTGAATCGCAGAAAAAGGTTAAGTGCTAATTTAATAACTTGACGCTGAATATTTATCAAATCCAGTATTGCTTGATATATTTGAATTTCTAAGACAAAATGGAAGTTTATGATGAACGCTAGCCATCGTGGAGCTATCGATTCGCCATCATTCCGGAGATGAAGAGACAATAAACAATAAAGATTCAATCATTCCATCAATTTTTTTGAGCAAATCACAATGATGACAACATAAATAAGCGAACAAATCACTGACTAAGACCACAATAGTGTTTTAATGTTTCATATTCAAAGAAAAGACCATTTCTTACATTATATTCACAATTTCCGAACTGGTTAGCGATTCGCGATGTACACAGTTCGAGGAGTAAAATTTCATCACAGTTTCCTTTGAAAACTAAATTATTCAGATCACAGACCATTTCTTACAATTAAGTAGAAATCGTTCTGTGAGAAAAGAACTACCACCTCCTACTAACATTCCCCTTTTACAGAAGGCAATAACGCGAGTATCACTAGACCGTTCCTAAATTACACATTTTGCCAGTTTGCTTAGGATATTGATATAAGAATAGAACTTGTGCACTGTGCTAAAGTATAATTCTATTGTGGGTAAAATTTATTTTGATGAAGTCTTATAGTGTTATACAGTGATATTTACTGATGCTTAAGACACTATTGTCATGAGCATAGGCTTTTTGAAAAATAATCTTATTTTTGAACATTTCAGAAATCGATTATGTGTCCACCAAACTGCATCTACCTCATACTTTTGTGTTTCCAGCTAATTGATTTTCGATTTCTAATGAATCTAGGATTTTCCTCTTGACAATTGCTTCTAGGTAGACATTTCCAACAGTACTTCGGGAGGTAACTATCAGGGAAGAGGATATCTTGTCCCCGCATTGCTCTTGGAATTCGTTTTAGCGACTGAACTAGATGTATTTGATAAAAGCTACTTGTTACATAAGTAATTAACGGCAACTAGTGAATATTCCAAGCGATCATGATAAATTATATTGTTCTCTTTTTCTGTAGTATTGTTTCGATGAGGTGATAAATTTATCCAACCTGTCAATGTAAGGATGTCGTATCACAAACTTTAAAAGTTATCATAGTATAAGACTGAAATTTTCGACCGTTTAACTAGCTACACCTTTATCGACTAAGAAAGTATCTAACATTCGCCTTGTAACGGCAGCAAACATGGGCCAGGCAACAGATCGTTTATTGAGAAAATCAAGGGGCATTTATAAATTTTTATGTGCATTAATATCGGCGTTATAGTTAGCGGAGGAGCAACCTCTTCTGATTGTATGTTTTTTCGCTGAAGGTTATTCTGCTTTTTCTTTGTGGCCGTTTCAAGTCATATATCTGTGAATAATATTTCCACACTTTAACTCCTCTATGACTGGTAGGTGAAGTCTTTAAGTTTAAGCTTTGTTACTGTTTTTTTTATCACCCTGATTCGGGACGTGAACATTGACGTGAATCGCTGTCTACAAATTCTGGTTTGCAGCCCCCTCTCACCACAGCCTCACCTGGTTACTTCTGTCTGTTTTCGACACAGAACCTTTCATATATGTGCGGTAGTCCAAGTCGCCACACCCTCTCCTTGTAGCACACAAAGCAACAGAAGAAAGTATAAGAAATGCATAATAGAGACAGTAAACAGAGGTGTGAGTCAAAGGAATAGTAATAACGAAGAACAAAACAGTTTCATTGGAAATCAATAGTCACAAGGAGTGGATGCATCTGCGCCAGCTATTGACAACGATTCTGAGCCATCTCACAAACTGTTTCCAACCATTGGTTTATGTTATCTAGAGGACCCCAACCAGGAAGCCAGTTAACACCTTCCTAAATGCCTTAAACAAACTGTTGTGGATTTCATTGACTAGTGCCATGTTTTGCTTAGATCGCCACTAGCTCTTTTCCAGCATGACCCTATATTAGCTAACATTGCCCGTCGAGGAAGTCGATGACGAGGCATACGTAACACATGTCCTAACCATCTCAGTCTTTGTAACCTCACGACGTCGTCGATTGATTTCCTCTGTTTACCTAGCACTCGACGCCTAACCTCAATATTGCTCACCTTATTATGCCACTTTACACGGGAAATAGAACGCAGCCACCTATGATCAAAGACAGCTAGTCTTTTCATGTCTTCCACTCTCAATGGCCAGGTCTCACAGCCATAAAGGAAGACGGACCGGACTGATGAGCAGTACACCCGCCCTTTGGTCGATAGTCGAACATCTCGTCTACGCCAGAGACGGCGTAAACTGGCAAATGCGAAACGAGCCCCTGTATTCGTGCTGAGATTTCGTCAGAGATCAGCCCGTTGGCATTGGCTGATGGTACTTCCCAAATAAGTGAAGTGGTCAATGTGCTCTACCACTTCACTTCCTATTTCTAATCTAGGAGTTGGTGTAGTCCAGTCCTGTAACATCATCTTGCATTTGGCGGGAGCGAATCGCATGCCAAACATTCGTAGATTGCAGCTCAAGGTGTTTAGAAGACACTGCATTTTGTCAGCGTCCTCGCCTAGGAGGACTATATCGTCTGCATATTCTAAGTCAACGAGATTATTCCCTGATAGCAAGTCAATCCCTGAGTCACTGAAGTCACTTAGGGTTAAGTCCATTAGTACATCTATGATGAAGTTGAATAGAAAAGGGGATAATGGGCATCCTTGACGGACACCACCAGTCGTCACCACTTCAGATGACAACTCGCCGTAAGCCCTCACCTGGCTGTATGAGTACGATTAGAGTGCCTTAATCAGTGCAATATATTTTCTCGTCATTCCCTTTACAGCCAAGCATCTCCAGAGAACTCGGTCGACAGAGTCGAATTCCGCCTTTAGGTCAAGAAATATAATGACTGTTGGACGCCCGTAGGAATGCATATGTTCTAGAATCTGTCGACGAGTGAAGATATGACCAGTACACCCTCTTCCTGGTCTAAAGCCTACCTGGATCTCTCGTGTTTGTGCCTCCCGAGCACCACTTAGTCCACGCATAATTATTGAGCCTAGGACTTTAGATACTATATTAGTCAAGCCAATCCCTCTGTGATTATCACAGGAAGACTTGTCTCCCTTCTTGTATATCGGGATAATCAGTGACTTACACCAACCCGATGGAACTTCTTCTGATTCCCAGACGCTCCCTAGTACCTCAGTTAATGCAGACAGTAAACTGTCTCCACCGTACTTAAATACCTCCGGAATAATTCCGTCGGGTCCTGCCGCTTTGCCTCGTTTCAAATTACAGATAGCTTTAGTGACCTCACTTACAGACGGCGGACCAGTGTCTATATCCCATTCGGGTGTGTGCTGGATGTTAGGGAGGTTCAGTGTGGCTTTAGGCAAGTTAAATTGTCCCTCAAGGTGTTCTTTCCAGCGTTCAAGGCGTCTATCCTGAGAGCTAATTAAGGAGCCATTTTTCTCAGAAATAGTCTCACTTATGATTTGCCTTCTCCCACCTGTTTCCCTGATGAGTCTAAAGAGTTGCCTAGTGCTGCCTATCGTCGAAGCTTTTTCCATCTCTTTCGCCTTTATCACCCACCACTGTTCACGGTCCTTGCGGAGACTTTTCGTAAGTTTCCTTTTGTGCAGCTTCCACTCCTCATTGAATTCGGAGCTCGCCGAAATAAGTCTTCTAGCATCTATCAGTTCGGATGAGGCCGTGAATATCCAGTGGTTTTTACTCACCTTTGGATTTGCCTTATTCACAGCTTTTACAGCTGTATCTATGGCTGACTGAATATTCTTCCAAGCTTCTTCAGGGTGAGCACAGCTGTCGAACACAGATATGTGTTTAGCTAGTTCTTCCTCAAATACGGATTTAGTTTCCTGATAGAGCTTGGGACGTGATGGTTTTACCACCAGCTGTTTCCTTCGTGCGTTCAGTCGTAAGCACACACGAGCGCGGACCAGTGCGTGATCGGTATCTACACACGTGTTCCAGAAGGACCGACAATCTCCTACCGACCCACGCCAACGATAGCTTATTGCTATGTGGTCTATTTGTGTCCAACGTTGGTTTGATGAAAGGAGTCTCCAAGTCAAACAGTGTCTCTCCTTGTGTTTGAAGTTAGTGCTTACAAGAAACAAATGATTATCAGAACAAAACTGTAGAAGACGGTCACCGTTGTTGGTTCGCTGGCACGGAACTCCATAGGTGCCATTGACATCCTTCTCAGATTGACACGATTTCCCTACTTGAGCGTTAAAGTCACCAGCTAGAACGACTATATCTGAGCGTTTAGCCTTTCGCAGCAAACTAGACAGCTTTTGGTAGAACTCATCCTTCGTTTCATCCGAACTGCAGTCAGTGGGGGCGTAGGCGGAGATTACGAAAAGGCATCGGTGAGTAGTGCAGTCCTTTCTCCTTTTTACTGACCCGTTCAGACGGACAGCACACATTCGGCTATCTACCGGGATCCAGTCAAGTAATGTCTTTTCTGCCCCAGTACTCAATGCTATCCCTACACCAGCTAATCCTCGTGAACTGGCTGTGGCATTCTACTTTCAATCAATGGGTCGTGGGTTCGAGTCCCGCCCTACCTAAATCGGTCGGGGCAATTGGGTAGTATCATCAACCCCCACATCATTATTGTGTCTTGCAACCCAGTACTGGGCAATTGAGATCCAACTAACTAATTTCCTAGTCTGTATAAATGCAAATCAGTGAACACTTTTCAGTCTATGTATATGCAACTAGATATGATAGAGAAGATTTGTAGCTCAAGTGGATGATTTTGATATGATTTTGTTCTCTGAGCTGGATGGTTAATTTGCGAAGCTTGCATCACCCTACTGGGTGACATCTTCAGCGCATACTTCAATTTGAAGTGAGCTTTTAGATTTCTCCACGAGTTTATTAATCATCTCTCCTGGTGACCT